GAAATGTGGGAACACCCGGAGAGCCATGATCGTCCATCGAGTACAACTATCGGGCGTCTGCCTGTCCGGCCAGCCATAAAAAATTGGGAGATGGCAAAAACTCCTAGATCTCGGCCCCTAGGCTGGTTAGGGGCAGAACCACGGGGCCCCCGGCCACGCCGGTAGGTCTGGGCCTATTGAAGAGTCGTGAGGCCGCCTAATAGGCTAAAGGGTGGGTTGCACCAATTGTGGTGGTGCGTCCAATCCACTTGGGAGAAGGCATCAATCCCGGCGGTGAAAGGGCACCACCATCGTGAATTGAACTAGGGAGTACACCGGTTCTCGGTGCTGGCGAATCGGTCCATTGTGTACGGATCCCAAATTGCATCCAGCGCTCGAAAGATCCTAGGGTGCATAGTCCAATCCTCACGATGCTAGAGGCGGCTCAACTCGTCCACCACCAGATTGGTGGTGGTGGGAATACACACCGGATTGAGAGAGATGTTGAGAGTCGAAGTGAGGAAAAACACATTGCGGAGGGCAACCATCAATGGGGTGGAGGCCAAAGTCAGCTTGGCGAGCACACACTGAACAACCCGGCTGTCTGTGTACAAGTTCACCCACCGCCCCAAGAGCTGCCTCCGGAAGGACTGGAGAGCCTGTGCCACCGCCATCATCTTGAGCACGTTTATGTGAGAATGGTGATCGGTCGCAGCCTAGAACCCTGGCCAAAACTGGAACCGATAAGGAAGATGGGCCCTCAGAGGGGACTGTCAGAGCTGCTCCCCACCCGTACAGTGAATTGTCTATGTGGAATGTCGCCATCGCCAGAGGCCGCCACCGTATTGAGGCGGAATTCCAGGGTCCTAAGTGGGCTCGAAATGCCAAATCCGCCAACGATTGGCGAGAGGTGCAGAGTCCCCTGCAAGCTCGTCTTGGTCACCAGGTCGTCGTACATAGACCACAGGAAGAACTAGGCAGCCGGCACTAGGAGTGAGAGGTTCTGGCCACGGCCACAGAACTGGGCAAGGACCCGGGCTTTGAGCGGGCAGCGTTGATTGGCAAGCAGGCAGGCAACATCCGCCCGCATCTATGCCACCCAATTGGGAGGGGCGATCACCAGGCCCCGCTCCGTGTCGAGGAGAACGCCCAAGTGGCGGATCAGGTGAGTGGGGGTCCATTGGCACTTATTGGGCTTCAACACGATGCCCAGGGCCTAGAGCAGAGTCTGTACCAAACCGCCCCACGTGGCCGTTGCCGCGTCCCCCAATAGCCCCCCCACGAAATCGTTTATGTATAGCGAAAGGACGGGGGAGGGATTGGCCGACCAGTAAGCCGCGAGGGTAGGATGGGTCGGGCGGCCCCGAGCGGCTATGCGGGGGGCATGCAGAAAAGCCACGAGGGGCCGCATCAACTTGGTAAAGACCAGGGGGGAGTTCATCCAGCCAAAACAAAGCCCGGGAGCCTCGAAGAGCTGCCCATTCACCACAAACTAAAAACACCTCACAACCTTGGCTTCCATGCAAAGGTGATAGAATGCATCGTGGACATCCCAGCCGATCAGACTGTGCCCCTAGCGTAGGGTGGGCAGAAAGGTCTTTAGAGTTTTGAATTTGGTGGATAACTTGATGGTGTGTTGATTGAGGTGACGCAGGTCCACCACAAGCTGGAAGCCGCCGTCTTTCTTTGGCACCATGAAGGCGCGGGAGACATGGGTGGCCGGGCTGCGGGAGTAGCGGATGGCACCCGTCTGAAGGTAATGTTGCTTGAGCTCCTCCCAGGCTACCAGTGCTGGCCCCACCAACCAACATATCCCATGATGGAACGGCTTGGGCGGGTGATGGTGCGACACCACCGGGACGCCCTCGTGGATCCAACAAAGAACCGTGGAGGACGCACCCATTTGGCACCATAGGGTGATGTTCCGGCGAAGCCGCATGGCAAAGAAGTGGTCCCCCGGGGATGGAAGGGGGGGAGGAGGTGTCCAAAGCTGGTATTGGAGCATTCCCGCTCAAGCGCAGCTTGGTAAGGGTGGCTGCAATCGCCTGGAGCTCCGCAGGGGAGCTCATGCAGAGTCTTGAAAAGGGTTGCCAGATGGGGCAGGGGAAGATCCCCCAGAGCCTGCTCCCCATCCGCGACCGCCGTGATTGCTGAAGCGGCCGCGCCCTGGCCCACAGTGGTTGGAACCTTGAGAACTGGATCCCCCGCCACCATGACCTTCGCCCCGCCCACGAACAGCCCCCTCAGCCTGGACCATGAGGGTCGATTTCTGAATCTGGGCGTGGATCGCCTCGGTAGGGGCTGCCTCCAAGGTCATTAGGTAGCGGGCTTGGGTACTGGCCAATTGGATGTTGGTGTGGAGGCTCTTGTTGGCCTCGGACAAGGGGGTACCCATGTAGGACGTTTGATTGCGGCACACGGCCAAAGTGGCAGATGCGATGCTAGTACCATCAGTGTAGAGGGACACGAAAGGTTCCAAAGCTGCCTTGACCTCCGGCGGGATGGACTTGTGGGCCACCAGGGCAATGAGGCGGATCTGCAGATCAAAGAGAAACGAGACCACCGGCGCCCAATTCGCGTATTCCATGAAATAACCCGATCGGTGGCCCAAAGCTTGCACCACATTGATCCCGTTGGCGGTTTGCAAAATGTCAAATCATTTGCCAAACTGGGAGGGAAGGTGGGGCATGGGATTGTTCTTGGCCGGCTGAATGTTCTTGCCTGGTCGTAGGACCAGCAAGTCGGCAAGCATAGGGGAGAGAGGGGCCCCAAATCGTTGGGCCAAAGGCTGCAGACGATCGGCGACCTCCTTGGCGGCCAATTGAGCTCGAGGCTGCCTAGACAGGGCTGCGTGCTTTGCCGGATCCGCTACTCCCGAAGACGATGCAACACCAGGCAGTTGGCCCAACAAAGTTTGAAGGGCCTTGGCGACCTCCTCGGGGTTGACAGGTATAGGAGCATCAGCGATGGCCTACTTCAAAGGTTCAAAAAACACGGGCAATGACCCGGCACAACAGATCCTTTCTAAGGATCAAAAACAATGCCGATGGGACCGGCTCGCTGCAACACGACACGCAGTTAGAGCGAGAAAACGAAGTGCAGTCTGGCTCCTGACGGGTCCCTTAGGCGGCGCCACCACTCGTGACCTACTCGGAAAATTACATTGAAAGTCGTCTAAAGTACATTGAAAGTCGTCTCATCATGCTTTTCAACCCCAAGGGTCCTTGGAGCCACAACCTGTGCGCGCCTTCGACAGGACAAGAAGACAGAGCCAGCCGAATCATTCATGAGTCACTAGAATTCTCCCGCCCTATTTCCGGACCTACCGCAACCTTGCCTACTATGCATAACCTACACATCCCCTATCGCCCCATCTATCCATTAGCAACTACCATATCACAAGGTAGCTTAGCTGCCATGATTGTTGAAGCATGGCTAGGTCAATATCTTTAACACCAAATTTCTGATTATTTTGCTATAATTCTAGTGAATTACTAGAATGGAGAACTGTGTATTGCAAACGTAGCACTCTTGTGAGGTAACACGGCCCATGGGTTACCCACCCTAGCTTCTTAATATTTTCAATTATTAAAACTTTGAATTTAAATCAATGATTTACATTGTTGTAAGAAAATATCATTATGGGACATCAAGGTGTAGTCGCCGAAGCTCTTTATAAATGGTTTTAATCGTTTTCTTAATTATGTGTAGATCATGAACATTCCGGGTACAATTTGGTCATATTTTAAGTGGTGTATTAACTCCTTCTAGTGTCTTTCTTTTAGGCACAATAATGATCTCACAGTCCCAACTCAAGTTTGCATTTTGTTGAAACTTTGGAAATAAAAGATTCGAAAAAATGGTGACGAAGACAGTTATTGTGGAGACTATCATTATTAAAAAGCCTCAACGATCTAGATCGTTGGTCATTTCCGATTGCGCTTGGGTACCATCTGTGAGGACTACAATTTTGCTTATCTTTTGCATTTTGGCCTTCGCTTTGTCAACCTTTGCAAGGCCCTCAACACCTCGCCTCTCATATTGTATATATTCCCAATATTCAATAGAGTCCTAAAATTGCGCTTTGTAGTGAGGCGCTGAATTCGTTTTTCCTTCCTACAATACACTAACTAGCATGCAAAACACCAGTAAGGGAGGGCTATTGGCACCACCACCTTTGCCATAAATGGAGTCAAGACCCTAGAGCTCTACACACCCTACAAATCACAAAGCGCTATGCCCATAGCTGCTGCAACAGCAAAGGCTTGGTCAACAAGACAAGGCTGTCTCACCAACAAAGAGGGGTGTGCCAGAACGGATTGTCTTCCATGATGTCTCGATGATGCCCAGATGATTATATAGGAGCCCAGCAAGAATTGTGGATATTTTTATATTGTATATAAGCCTATCAGGCCAACAAGAAGGTGCTACATGGCTACATCAATTGTCGGATTATTGCCATTGTTTTTGGATACGTTGCCCTTTGCATGTGAAGAAGATCGCCAAAACTCTTTTGTTTGGTTTGCAATGCGCAAAACTTATTCATTGTTGTTTGATTAATTCCTTGTTAAGTCTCATAGTCCCAACCCTTTGATGCAACATATTCAAGTTACCCTAACAATAGCTACACCATTCCCATTCTATGTATGCTTCGCACATGCACTTCCACTTCTGTGGCCCATACCCACTACCCTCAACCAACATCCCCGCTGCGCTCCGCATTGCACTGCCCCTTGGATGCCTGTTTGTTCGTACCATAGCCTTCCTATAATGAGCCATTCACAATATTCCTCATTCGCAGTACTTGGTGCTTTGAAGGCGGGCCGAAGGTAACAGGCGTTTGTGTGCCGCATTTGTGGCCCGGCAGGCGCCTTCCACGTCCCCCTCCAGTCCCCACAAACGCAAGTTCGCGGCCAGCACTCACCCCCACAAAAATTTGCAGACCTCCCGGCTGCAGCGACAGCCCCGCTCCGTGGTCCCCCCACGCCGTCTGCCGATCCGATCTTTGGTTGCAGTGCGCGATGCCGGCTTCCGCCGGATCTCCCAAGGTGGCGTCGCGGCATGCGCCCCTGGGGCTCGGGCGCCGAGCTGCGGCGCTGCCGCGACGGATCGCACGTCCCCGACGGGGAAGGGAGGGGATCCCTCGGCCCAGGCCAGTCGTCTCGGCGGATGGCCCCGTCGCGGAGGAAACATCCGTGCCTGGGCCGGAGCAATTGATGCAGGTAATTGCATTGGGCGCAATGGGCGATGCTCGCGCCATGCGCGGGAGTCCTGTTGTTGATCTGGGCCGGCGGAAATTGGTGTGGCGAGTTTTGCGAGTTATGGGGTGTTGAAAGGAGTTTGTCAGGGAGGATTGTGGGGGCAGGTGGGCGCAATTGGGGAGTGCGCACATGAGGGAGGTCACGGGAGGTGCCGAGCTCCTGGTACGTGCTTGGGAATTGGTGGAAGGTTGGTGCCAGTGCCGGTTTTAGTTTTGAAACGTCAAGTAGGAAGCGATAAATTGGGATTGAAGGCGAATTCTGGTGTTGAAACGCCCTGGAGTGTGGCAGTTTCGAGCAGCTGCGGATGGAATGGTGGCGACTTTGTGTTGCACAGGTGTCTGCCACGGTTCCAAGGGCTTTGCTCCTGCTGTGCCAATCGTCTTGACACACCCCAATCTTGTGTGGTGAGCAGGAAACCATTTCATTCCTCAAAGAAGATCTGACTCACCTGTTTGACGAACAAGGAATCGATGCCTCAAGGTGAGTAAGAACATCAAACAATGCATATATTTCTAGTGTACTTCTAGAAGTATATACACATACATGAGCAGCACAGACTTATAGCATGCGTTTTGATTTGTCTGCACAAGCATGTTGCAGTGTCTTAGGGCACACAGCAATTCTGCACTAGCATGTCAATATTGAACTTCACATTGTGTACATGCACCTTCATCTGCCCTCATGTTGTGACAGTTTTGCTGTAGTATTGCAGTACATTGTGTAATTCTTCTTCTACTTGCAGTAGTTTTTTTATATTTTATATTGCAGTATATTTAGTCATACATTATGTAAGTGCTGCCACAGCTGCATCGATAAATGTGGTTGCACGTTTGAAACACAATGGATTGCACCCAGATAGCTGGCTGTTGCACAATGATGCAGAGACGCATGAACTTGGCAGGGGAGAGTCATGCACACAAGTGTGTACGGATGTGTATGTGCACAATTTTGCTGATAGCTGTGGCATGTTTATGCAGATATGACGAGGTTGTGGAGTTTCGAGACCCCATTTCTTCATACAACAGCATCAGGGGATACCTGTTCAACATTCAGTTTCTGCGCCGCGTATTCTCTCCCACCTTTGAGCTGCATGACATACGGCAGACTGGAGATTTTGAAATCACGAGCCGCTGGACCATGACGATGGAGGTTGCACCCACCAAGGGGACAATTCTAAGGCAGTTATGGGACCCCAAGCTGGTGTTCACAGGCGTCTCCATCTATGGGCTCAACCCCAGCAATGGGAAAATTAACAAGTGAGCACAAACAGAAGTCGGTTTCGTTAGGCTGTGCCTCTGAAGGTCTATCAATACTGTGCACAATATATGACTTCAACGATGGCAACGATGGCAGGCCTGCTCATTCAGCGGCTACTGAATGCAGTTGTATCTTTCCTGCATCGGTTACCCCCTCATCTGGGCTTCCACAATTTCAAGTGTTTGCTTGCTCCCTGGCAGTGTCATACCTGAGTGAAATTTCATGGAATGAAAGATTGTCAGCAGCCTATTGAATTGAACCACAATTGACTAGCAGCCTACTGTACCATGCAGTGGCCAGTGCCCTCAAGCACCTAGTGGTGCAGATGGATGCAGGGAGGGACACTGATGGGTGTGTCCCATTCTCCTAGGCACCTTGACCTGTGGGATGCGATCGACCAGCAGGAGTTCTTCAGTGTGGAAGGATTCGCCCATGTCCTCAGACAGGTCTTCAATTTGACAAGGGCACCAGACCTGGAAACGCCCGAATTCAAAGTCCTGAAGTAGGTGGCTGCATATGTTCAGTGTTCCCTTGTTTATGTTGAGTCTGTTCCATACCACATGCCCTTGTGTCAAGAGTGATCAAATGCATGCTGCATTGTGTGACAATGCTTGCAGCAGCACTTTTCACCTGAATGCAAAATCCAAGGCATGTTGTGCATTAAATGGTGGAACATTTTCTCACCATCAGCACTTTTGCCAGGACATTTGCTCCCAGAAAGTGTTTGCGTGTCATGATCGATTCTGTTGCATTTTTGATGTGCTTGCATGACTCAATCTAGTGTGCCTGGATGCTCAAAATCTGGAGCCCCACATCGTCCTGTCTACTGGCTCAGCAGGATCACATTCACCTGTTGTGCACAAAGCTGATACTTGTGTGCTTGTGTCCTTGTCGTCTCTATGCGCTATACTCTTGAAGCATCGCCACTAGGTGAGCGATGGTTTGTCTTCAGAATTGTTGCTGTTTTTGTGTTGGTGGTCTCAATGCCCTGTGCTCGGCTTTTGTGCAGGAAAAAGCAAGCATACGAAATTCGTGAGTACCCAAGTTTCTTAGTTGCTGAGACCAGTATGGATGTGGCGAAAGCTCCTGGTGCGGAGGGGTCAGTGAATCCTGCTGGTGCTGGAAACAACGCATTCAACAAGTTGGCAGGCTACATTTTCGGCAAAAATGAGCAGGAAGAGAAAATGGCAATGACGACACCAGTGTTGACCACCAACACAGGCCGCATGCAATTTGTGGTTGGGCAGAAGTACAAGGTGTGCAGCTTTTGTTTTCTAGCCTAGATATATGGAGGTATGGGTCTCAGAATGTCGTGTGCATGGCAGCAAAATCATGGCATTGCGGCAGCTGTCTTCCATGGCCTCTCAGCCGATTCGTTGCATGCGATATACTAGAAGAGCAGGGGCCTTCTCTCTAGCTGCGGGGCAGAGAATCGGGCACTCTGTCAATTGTGTTGGATAGCAAAAACCCACTTCGAAAGCCAACCATTCGACCCTGCCAGCGATTGTGGCTGGAAGGACGTTGGATTTGGACCAGATGCGCTGATGCACAGGTTGGCCCCTTCCAGCTGACGGACTTGTCGTAGAATCAACAAGAAATCAAGCAGGACATTTAAAAGGGCTCCATGCCGTCTCAGGATGCCTTTGAAAAGGCAGAGAAGTCGACGACCTTCATTTGTCCAAAGGGAAGCACTGACCCCCCTCCCCAGAACTTTGTGGTGCACTGCTGCTTGATGTCATTGCTCTGTGCTTGGGTTATGACCCTTGAGTTGAACGGCACAACTTGCTGGCAATTTCCCTAGTCCTAAACACAGTCGTCATTTCGTTTCCAATGTTCGCTGTTCTGTCCTACCACTTTGTCTTCAGGAGACTGCGGCGTACGGCCATTCCATCCTCTTGTTTGTGGGCATTGGTGTGTGGTCAAGACACAGTCACTTGTTCCAGGTTTATTCAGCATCAGTTCTTTGGCGTGTTCACAGGAAGCTGGCATGCCAACTCCGTCCGATAAGGAAGTCGCCACGAAAGAGGCAGCCGGGGGGCTGTACATTGTTTCATCGTTCAATGGTCCAGCGTTGGAAGATCAGGTGGAAAGGGAATTCAGGAACCTCAAAAGTATAATGTACAGAGACGGCCTTGTGGCGGGGGAGGGATGGGTGTTGGCCAGGTACAATGACCCTTTTACTAATCCCCTTCTGAGGAGGAACGAGGTGCTGATTCCGGTGGCTGGGGGATTTAGCCTCTGGTGATGTTCACTTTGTCGGCGATCAATGTTTCGGCATTTTTTTCTGTGTTATCTGTGGATTCCGTTGCGAATGTATGCGAGTTAGTGGCAACCGTGTGTGCACATACGGGTGCGTGGCCTGTGCAGAAAATCGCCTGGACTGTCATTGATCCACACGCTGAACCACTGCGCTCTAAGATGACTACCACTACTGCCCATAACGTTTTGGTGTGGTGCCGTACATTGTGGCGGTGGTCGGTTGTTCTACAATTGCTTGCTTCCAATGGCACGTGATGGGCCATTGCGGATGCACCCTAATTTCAAGGAGTGGCGGTCTCAGACTCTGCTGCTGCGTCTGGCAGTGCTTTCTGAGTTTTTGGTTTCCAGAGCACGGCGTCTTTCATGCCTGTGCGCTGCCTGGGTTCAGTGGTCGTTGTTCAAAAGTTTCGTTCCGCAGATGGCAGCGATGGTCTCTAGCAAGCTGCATTGGCCGAGATGATTCATGCACTAAAGAAATGTGCCAATACCGGGTTAGAAAGACAAACACAGAGAATGCTGGGCACCTGCTCCCACTCAGAAGTCGCAGTATTTGCAAAATGCCCTTCGTGTTTCGCATTGAATGCAAATGCATGTGTGATGTTAGCATTCCGCGATGTCCCTTGACTCCGCTCGTCACGAAGATGTACTGGAGCAAGCTTGCCATACACAGTCCAAATAAGCTCGTTATGCGCCCTTCAGTCTGCTTGTACGGATCTTCTATTCCTGCACTTATGAACATGTGCGAATGAATGTGTTCTGCTTCTAGCGTTGGCGCTCGCACCCATATGATTTGGTCAAGTTTCCTGACCGCCAGCCTCGCCGACAATGCCACCTCGGGTGCGCTTCGGGTCAAGCGCCGAGCAGCTTACCTAGCCATCTATGAAAGGCATGCAGGCCACGTGTTGCGGCAACGCAATCTGCAACACGACGCAACACATCAATACACTCAGATGCCCGTATGTATGAGTGCCTGGCTGTATACGCGCTTTTACGCGCAGAACTGCATAGAATTACAGATAGTCGTGAACGTGCTTTACAAGCCTGTATTGCAGTCAAAACCCTGAAGAATGACCAACACATATATAAGCAAATACTTGTTGCCAGGCGCCCGACCGCCCATTGAGGAGATAGCGGCATTTACTTCACAGGGTGGTGCTTCGCACATCATCCTTTATGCCATATGATTGCAATTGTGCAACAATGCCACTGGGGATTACCCCCACAGGCTTCATGGCTGCAGCAATTCATTTTTGGTAGTGAGGATGTGCACACATAAGACGTTGCACGGCTCAGTGGCCACTGAATGCTCTCACACCCGAAACAGCTGTTCTATATTCTGAAATATTTTAAATGTTTTGTATATTAAAAATTCTTACTTACTCCGTCCCAGATTATTTGTCGTCTATTTGAAAGACAAAATTCATTACAAGGACGGCCTCAAAATTTCAAAACAAGGTCAAAATCGAACAGATTGCATCCCCAAACCCTTGACTATCAATTCCCAAGAAGAAAAAATGAGACTCGATTTTTGAGAGTAAGGCGAAAAATAAATATTGGTCATCTTTGAGCCCAAATATCCAGGTTTACTGGGTAAAAGTACTGCCAAATTCTCAACACTTAATGGAGTGACTTAAAATTTTGTTTACTCCAAACTCACAAGCACAACTTTAGCTGAAGTTTCATTGAAAACGGGTGTGAATATGGTGGAGAAATAATGCCCCCAAGTCATAGACGACAATTATTATGGGACGAAGGAAGTACATATTTAAAACCACCACGCAAGTTTAAAAGGCAAGCCATCCCCATGAGCGCCCTTACTCCGCAGGACGCTTCATATGCAACAACCGTACATCACGAAATGTACTTCCATGTTAAGATATTGTTGTTTTGCCAAAACCCTTGCTTGGGGAACGCTCCAATCAATCAAATTGTGATACTGAAGCCTCGTTCAATGCCATTTTCCACCGGCTTTTTGTCGAGTACCCACCCACTCTCGACCTCAGGAACAGCTGAGCTTCCTCTGCTTTTGATGCAGTCGTGTCCGGGAAAGGAATCATCTTCTCGTGTCGTAAAATGTTCTCGTTGCCCTTGCTCACCAATTGACGTCCTTGGATAATGGTACTGCTTGGTTGCTTGGCTGATTAGGACATGATGCAATTGCCGCTTATGGACACAATGCTTTCTTGTTGGCAGGTTCGCCGTTCAACTTGGGCTCGGCAACCAGGAGAGATGCAGTGGCGAGAAACGTTCCCCAGGCGGGAGAACGTGCTGAGAAACCGTGCCCAGAGCCAAAAGTCGTTGTAAGACGCATGCCAATTCCATTCGTTGCTTTCAGCACGATGCTTCCTACTTATAATACCTCTATGGTGCGTAGTATATATTTATTTAAATGTGCGTTGAATCTTGTAAAACCCATTGCCCAGCTCGCACCGCGCAGTGGCACTGAAACTGTTGCAATTAGATGGTAGCAAAGTATTTACTTTTGATAGTTGATGAGTGTTGTTTCGATGAAGCGCGGTCTCTGCACCAACATGAACAAAATTTCTTGTCTTCATTTCTTGTGATCCAGGAATGAATTAACTATCTGGAGCATGAGCGGACAGGCTGGGAAAAGAACGAACGGCTGTGTTTTGAAAAGATCTCAACAGGAAGTCCTGTGCGGTGTGGCTTGCGAAAATACTGTTTTTGCTTCAAGTTTTGAATGTATTTGATACCTTTGGCTGCCTCCACGATAAATATAAAAAGCAGCAGTATTATAATATCACCAAACAATGACATAATGGATCAAATTCTGTAAATACATTGACGTGCACGTTACTGTGCGCCTGTCAAAATATTTTTTCCTAGGATCCTGCACAAACCCATCACTGCATTTAAAAGCCAATCTTGAAATCGCTATGCGTGGACACTGCTTGCGTCAAGGCGAAAGCAATTGCGATGACGCAGGGCGGCCACCTTTGCTGCACGATTGCAATTCCCCTATGGGATCCGCAGAAGAAAATAACGTCGTAGCCAGCTCAAATTCGTCAATAGTTACACAGTGCACATTTATGAACGAGGAGCGTAATGGCTCACGGCATAACTAGAATCCCATTTTGCGGTGCTCTAGACACCTTTCTGACATGCAACAATCCTTCCTAGAAATCGCACGTGCCATGCATACGGTACAAGACACGCGCCCTCAATCAAGATGGCCTGTGGAAGTCTGAGCATAGCTGCATGTCTGACTCATGCAACGCAGGGACACGAAGCTCCATGTGGAAGGCATCCATATATGGTATCCCCTCGCGACAGGGAGGGGGTCCATTTCTGCGGAGGGGTGTTGATCCACAAACGCTGGGTACTGACCGCCGCCCACTGTTTTCGAGACGTTACGTCTCCTCTCATTGTAATTGGAGCATGCCGCTTAACTGACGACAAGTATAAGAGGGACAGCGTTGAGGTGTGGCTCATGAGACAATAGTAGAGGTGGTCCCATCTGTCCGTCCCCAACAGAATTTGTTTGGCTCCGTTAAAATTCTGTACAATCAACAGAATTTATGAGGGAGCCACAGAGAAAAAAAAGCGTTTTACAGAAACGGGTAGTGCCATACTGACGTCAGCATAGACAACTACAGAAATCGACATAGCCTTACAGAATGAAACCAAGTGTTACAGAATTCGCGCCGCCGTCTACGGATGATAGGCACCCGCAACAGAACCGCTGACCGGACCACAAAGGTCGACAGAGTTCCATAAAAAATCGATGGCAATCGCTGCCAGGAAGAGCCCGCACTTATGATTTATAGTATGCTGTGATGATGTGTTCTGTGTGTGTGCTGCCTCTAGCCAAGTACCGGCAGCGATCGCTGCTGGGAAGGGCCCGCACTTATGATTTATAATACGCCGTGATAATGTGTTCTGTGTGTGTGCTGCCTCCAGCCCAGTACTGGCAGCGATCGCTGCCGGGAAGGTCCCGCACTTGTGATTTATAGTATGCCGGGATGATGTGTTCTGTGTGTGTGCTACCTCCAGCCAAGTACCGGCAGCGATCGCTGCTGGGAAGGGCCAGCACTTATGATTTATAGTACGCCGTGATAATGTGTTCTGTGTGTGTGTGCTGCCTCCAGCCAAGTACTGGCAGCGATTCAATATGCCTCTATTCGCGACAAGCTTCCAGAATCTCAAAGTCATGACGGATGGCAACGGAATGCCAGGAAAGGCAACGGAAAAAAAAATCTTTACAGAAATTGGTGGCTGCAAACACCCCCTTGACGGACAGCTCCAGAGCCAAAAAACTGGAAGCTGACGTGGCATGAATGGCAACAAAAAACCGGCCCCGGCAAAACAACAGAAAAGTGATGGACGGATTTTTTGTCTTGAAAAAAAATACGGACAGAAAATAACAGAAAAAAAGCTGAGCGGCCACGTCTAGACAATAGCTGCGTTTAAAGATACACAAAGTTGTCGCTTCGTGTAATTCTGTGCGCAAGTCCGATATTGCGCCCTGTCATGTATGTGACTTGGACGGCCAACGCCAATGCAGTGCATGCCTGTTGAGGAAGTCTGACAAAGATTTCGTTTTATGAAGCAGAGGCAAGCCGCACAGATCACATTCGTATTGCAGCGTTGTGCTTGCTGGGATGCAAGGTCATTCTCCAAATGGTATTTAATGAGCTAACTTTTGTAACAGATAACTCAAAACAAGTAGATTTTGGGACGCCATTCTGGGACCATACAGATGCGAACATGTGTCCTTCGTCCATCGATTCCAAGAGGGATCTTGATTGACCTTATTGACCTTGGGCCTTGATACAAATGTTGGTGGACGCTATGCATGAGGAGCTCTGGCACAAAAGTTGGCCATTGGTGCTCGAATCGAGTAAAGAGAGATTTTCTGGGCCTTATCCGTCAAGTGAGCATATTGTCCTGGCAGCTGATGTCTCACTAATAAAAGAAAAAAATGAACGCGACATGCTCCACCCCAACAGAGAGAACAAGATACTC